ATGTTGGCAGAAGAATAAGTGGATACAAAGTCGCCATAACTAGATTGAGGGTGGTGATCAGAAGGTTTCTGATGAGAAAATGGGTGTGGTGGGTGGCATTCAGTGGTAGTGGAAGGGGCAGGAAACTTAGATAACTTTAGTGTGGCCTTTGACTAGTTTATGGAAGGGCGAAAATGAGGTGAAGCCTGTGACAGCAGGGGACCAGACTCAGGGACTTGGGGGACCCATTCCAGTCCCACTCTGTTCCCAGTAAATCAGTTAAGTGAGGAATTTTATCTTAAGTCCCCTGTCCTGCAAATGTTTTAGTGCACGTGTAGAATCATAGAAGAAGAGGGTTGGAAGGGACCTCAGGAGGTCACATCTACTCCAACCCCCTGCTCAAAGCTGGACCAGCCCCAACTACATCATCACAGACAAGGCTTTGTCTACACACGTCTTAAAAACCTCCCCTCCGTCTTCTCTTCTCCAGACTAATACTCCACTTAACATGATGGCTGTGAGCAGCCCATAAGGTTACTCCCCAGGGTATGGAAGAAGTCATGTGTAAGTACTTGCAGGGTCTCTGCCACTGAAGTACCAGAGGCCTGTGAGCAAGGCTTCTGGGTTATCAGGATACTGTGCAGGGAGGGGTTGGGCCTGATAAAAGCATGGAACGGCGCAGCCCTGAAAGGTGAGCTGCAGCCTTTGCCAGCCACACAACGCAGGCAGGATCCCACCATGTACATGGGGAGGCTATAAGGGGCCAGCCCCTCTGTGTTCACAGGAGGGGAAGCCTGCTCCACCCAGGAAGCTCCAGCGGCATGCCAAGGGGGTTGTATCAACCCCGGGGGAGAAAGCGAGGAGGAGACAGAGGGGCAGACCTCACTGGCCCTGGCAGCCCTTTGCGTGTCCAGCAGTGGTGGCTTCTCTCCCTGCCTCTCAACATATTGCTCCCTTCCCCATTACCAAGCCCTTCTTCTTCAGACCCCTTGGAGGGCAGGGCTGGGACACTCAGGGACTAGCAGCCCAGCCACAGCCCAGCTGGGGGGAGGGGTGGAGGGGACTGAGTCCTCTCCTTGCAAGCCAGCCCCCCCCCACCCCCAATTACTAACGTATTCACCGGGGTTTGTATGGCAGCAGCTCCTGACAAGCATCACTTAACCTGCCTCACTGCTACATAATAACCTCATACATCAAACTGGAAGAGACTGCAGGGCCAGGTCTACTCAGGGGCTCTGTTTATACACCGAATATCATTATCCAAAGTCCCCTGTCCCCTTGCTTGATATGCAAAAACTCTCTGGCTCCCCAGAGGACCTGGCGAAGAAAATGCCCTGCAAAATGGACATTTGTTATATTCCTGCCAGCAAAGGGAGGAGGCATCGCTCAGCTGGGGGAAACAGGCATGAATTGGCCAGCAGGCTCATTCCTGGGCCCAAGAGCAGACCCAGGCTGGCACCTAGCGGCACAGTGAAGAAAGACAGCCCTTCAAAAGGGCCGGCAGAGCTGGCCTGGTTTAGCCCTGGAAGTCTTCCTTCGCTGGGCTACTACCTCTCATGGGCTATTCTTCCTCCTCCAAGGAATAGATCATTTTTTCGCCCCTGACCCTGGTGTTCCTGGTGGTTGATGGGGTCAGCTTCCCCCTCCCCAATGCTTTAGGCAAAGAATATTTCCGTGCCACTGCCAAAGGTCTGAAACCTGAAATGCTGATGGCTGAGTGCAGCATCCTGCCCCTGCGAGCAGCGCAGGCAGGCGAGGTGGTGAGACAGCCCCAGCCCTGCACAGAGCAAGGGAGTGGTGCTGTTACGACACGTATAGTGTCTTGATGAGGCTTGAGGTGCAGGAACCGCTCACTATGTACAGCTCTATTTACAGAAAAGCGGTATAAGGCTCTCGCACCACAGCCTGTAAGGCTCAGGCAGGCTCCTGCCTGGCAGCCCACTGACCCGTGTACTAAAAGACCAGCAGACCCCAGCCCCTTCCCTCTGGTCGGTCCTGGGGCTGCATCTCAGGGACTCCACCAACTCCTGAGCCTGGCTGCACCCCACACTGGTCTCCAGTCTCTGAGCAGCCCCTGTCCCAGCAACATCTCTGACTTCCCTGGTTTCTGACCCTGCCTTTCCTGGTTTCTGACCCTGCCTTTGGCTTGCTGCTGGATTTCAGCCTCTGCATTCTCCCTGCAGACCAGTCTCCTGACTCCAGCGTGGTTTACTTTTGGACTTCACCCTGTGGATTTTCCTTTGGACTCAGGAACTAGGTTGCTGATTCCCAGCTCCTGACCCTGGCTTGGCATTTTGGCTCCTGACTGCAACCTTCAGCTCCATGATTGGCTTTCTCCAGTAGGCCAGCTGGCTCCACAATCAGGTTTACCCACTAGGCCTACTGGCCTGGTGGACTATAGCAGCTACTACCCCAGCAAGGGTCTCATGGCTTGGCTTGTCCCTGTTCTGCCACACCAGAACGTTCCTGCTGGCCCTAGCCAGGCTGTCTCTTGGGTTGCCACCAAACTTCCCAGACAACATGCAGGACTTACTCTGTCACAATGTGGACCTCTTGAACACACCAGCCTCCAAGCATGAGTGGTCCTGTTGGTGCAGTAAGGCTGGCTGGGGTCAGAGTGGTAAGCACAGCTGTTGTCCGTGCAGGTGTAGGACTCCCACTGGAAGTGTCTCGGGACAGGAATCCCCTTCCCTGCCCCCCCACCCCACTTGGGGCAGAGCCCTGGCTTCACTTGTGGGCCCCAAATAAGACACAAAAAGGATTCAGTTGCCTCTGCTTGGACCCTGTCCACAGCTCCAAGTGGCTGGAACCCTACTTCCACCAGGCCACTTGAGTTCATTTTCATCAGTTCTTTATTTTTTTCCTCTTTTACCTCTAATCTGCTCTCTCTCTCCTTTCTGTCCCTGATTTTTTATCCCCCCTTCCCAACATTTTCCTTCTTTCCTCATGATCACCCATTTCTCACCATCACCAGTGTCCATCCATCCCCCAGTGCCACCCTGCTCTTCCCCCCAGTTCTCACCCATCCTTTCCTCTTACACTAATTGACACTGCTGGTAAAGGTCATTCCTCAGTGCAGACAGAAAACAGAGGGCCCAGCCCCTTGCCTGAACATTTCGGCCAAAAAAAACTTCAGTAGTCACCACGGATTTTTTTTTCTTGACAGAGCAGGACCTAACTTGAGTTATCTTTGCACTGGGTGCCTCCACATTCCTGCTAGTCCCCTCTTCTGAAGATCAGGTGCCCCCCACCAAGTGTCACAACGTGGTGCCTCAAACACTGAGTTGTTAAATAAAAAGCATAGCTGGCTTCATGGCTAGAACATGCGTCTCCATCTCTCCTTTCCTTATGGGGATCTCTCCCTCTCTGCTGTTCCCAGAGTACATCTGGTCCCCATATCTCTGGCTCCCCAGAGTACCTTGCAGACAGAGCAAAAATACCTCCCATACATCTTTTCCCTCTAATCAACCCTCTGCCTTTGAACTGCTGCTGCTACTGTCTGGGGCCTGGTGATGGAGATGGCTGTTCAAAGACCTGGAAGACAAACACAAAGGCCCTTCAGGTGCAAGTTCTCCCCCTTAGTAGGTTTCCAGTCAATGCTCATTCCCACATCGAGGGTGGCTCTTTGCACGCAGGATGCTCTTGTAAAATCCCTGTAGCCAATGGTTCCTTCCTTTGGCAGCCCAGTCTACAGGTTGAAAGCACACACCTTTAAGATATGGTATGACATCTAGCAGCAGCCTCTAGCTGGCTGGGGATCACTTAAGAACAGTCAGGTCAGATAGTTGGGGCAAGAAGTTAACTACAGAGACCCTAACAGCCCCTCCAAGGGACATGGAAGTGGAGAATTGCCTGAAGCACTGGGAACCAATGAAGGGGACCCCAGACCCTGGTGAGCCCTCAGCAGCTGTGGTCTGCAGAACAAGGCCTCTACCACTACAGAGGGCCTTCTCCTCTGGGATCTTCTTCTGTGCATGCTTTCTCAGCAGCAAATGCCTCCTTTCCTTCACAGCACAGAGAGAGATAGGAGCTGGAGACTCACCCTGCTCTTGGACACATAATGCCAGAAGAGTAGGGATAGGTATGCAGGTGACTGCACAAGGGTGCCTGTGCTTGTAACAGGTCAAGCCGTGAGCAGTAGATGGGCAACTGTAAAACCCTTCAGGTCCAGGGGATGAACTGTCCTCTCCACTCCATGGTGTTGCTCCCAGCTATCTCAGCCAGGCAGAGAACTGAGATGAATCAGAGTCATAGAGAGGTCAGGCTGGAAGGGACCTCCAGAGGTCACATCTAGTCCAACCCCCTGCCTAAGGCCCTATCCAAGCCATCACATACAACCATAATCCAAACTCTACACAAGACCCTCAACCCTAATACAATACAGACCTAACACCCGAATCTGCCACAGGTAAAGCAAGGGAATGCATGGCTGGCATTGAGAAGGGACAGAGCCACCTTGGAGCTACTTAAAGAGCAGCAGTAGCTTATTTGGGAGAAACTGCTAGCTGCTGGGATCACTACCAAGGCATTTCCTGGGGCACTGGTTTCCAAGATGGGGTGGGGGGAGAAGTAAAGACTCCACTGTGCCCAGGCAAGCTGGGTCTGAAACCTCCTGAGGCCTCCTGGCTGCTGGGGAACCACGGTTTGACAATGCTGAGCTGGACCACAAGTCCCACCTATTGCAGCTGACTCTGGGCTGTGTTTGGGGCTTTGCCTGCTGTTTGCTGGGGGAAGCAGGGGAGCTGGGCACAATGGGTAGGGAGCCCAGGAGGAACCAGTGGGAAACATTAGATGCACACAGGGTAACATAGCTCGTCTGCGGAGATGGTGCTTCCTTCTAGAAGCACGATGCATAGGCCAAGCAGCACCCTGGGGTCAGGGCAGACTGAGGGTCAGAGTGTTGGGTGCCAACAGGCTACAAAGGGCTAAGTAGAAAGTCTCAGCCTGCAGGTTGTGGTAGACAGAATGTGCACCCGTTGCAGGTGCCAGGCACAGCAAGCAGAAAGAAGCAGGCCAGGCAGCACAGAGTCAACCAAATGCTTTATTCACGGCCTCCAAGCAGCATTCCTAGCACACTGGGGTGCTGGTCCCCATGGAGAAGCTCCTCCACCCTTCACTCCACAATGCAACGGAAGGACTGGACAGCAGGGGACACGGCTCCCCATTCCACAGGTCTGCGGTACTCGCCCTTCTCCAGGAGGTACTGCCTGCCGCGGAAGTTGGGGTGCTCGTAGAAGACCCAGACACCCCCCAGCACTTTGCATGCATGGATTTCCCGCATGTGGAACTCATCCATGACGGAAGAGCAGTCTTCAGTAGATTCAAACATCTGCCCGCCAAAGTCTCCCTTCTCAAAAATCTGGATCTGGCTCTGACCTCCACTGGGCTGCAACAGGAGAGAGAAAAAGACAGAGAAAGAGAAGTGGGGGGAAATCACAAAGCACTGAAAGGACAGCTGGGTAACACAAGGCAGCTCTAGGACACACTGTAGGCTCATTCTCCCCTCACCACACACCAGAGCAGAGAAATGGTCAGACTGGATGAGACCCGAGTCCAACTGGCTCCATATCTGGTCTCCAACAGTGGCCAGACACGTAAAAACCACACTCCCTCAACAGGAGACATGACTCCCTATAATGCTAATTCCTAATGTCTAGAAATTAGGGAACTGAACCAGGAAGTTTCCCATCTCTTCCAAAAGTCTCAGCAGCTTTGGACAGCCTGAACTGAATGCCACTGATCACAGAGAATTCGGCTTTGGTTGTGATGACACTGTCTGAGTACCATAAATTGGACAATTTAATGGACGCTGTGACGACAGAGAGAAGGCAGGAGGACATGTCTTCACAGTTTCACGCCGAATGCTTTTACTTGGGAATAAAGGGGAAGTAAGTAGCTTCCAGGAGACTGTAAAAGGAAAATGGAAAGTCCAGTTGTCTTACAGTCACACAAAGTTAATTTATGGGAAACAACATGCCCCTGTGCTGCGAGTTAACTATAGAGACCCTAACAGACCCCTCCAAGAGACATGGAAGTGGAGAATTGCCTGAAGCACTGGGAACCAATGAAGGGGGCCCCAGACCCTGGTTAGCCCTCAGCAGCTGTGGTCTGCAGAACAAGGCCTCTACCACCACAAAGGGCCTTCTCCTCTGGGATCTTCTGTCTCTGTCACTACACAGAGGTGTGAAGGTGAAGGCAGGTCCCCTGAAATCTCAGTCTGAGACAAGCCCCTGCTCGGTACCTTGGGTAGACACTGGTCCCCACACAAAGATGGTATCAGATGCTGCCACCCTGACCTGGTAGCGATGGGCTCATCTATGAATGCAAATGACCACATGAAGAAGAGGACAGACAACAGCTGAATAATCCCAGCCCTACAGCTAGCTTCAGGGGGGCTGCAGGATGTAAAGGCTAGGAGTGGTGATGAGGATGATTACAGTGTCCTGAGATGGAAGCCAATCTCCTTGGCTGGGGAGGGGGATAGCTTTAACTATTTGCATGCTGAAACTGAGTCTCTGGGGTGGAGCTGCAGAATCCCCCAGGGTAGCAAGGGGTTAATAAGCTAGTGACAGTGGCTGGCAGTTACATGCTTAACACAATACGTGCTTCTGCTGCTTTAAACAGCCTTAATTGCTATGCAAGTTGTAATCCTTAGCTTCTTGTGGAGCCCCTCCACTCCCAGAACCCAAGCCTGGGGACAGGTCCCTCTCCTTGCTGACCTCCGCTGTTCCCCGTTGGACTGGTACATGGCCCTTTCCATGGGAACGGAGCACTTCACCATCCTCTTGAATACTCTTCTGCCTCAAGTCCCATAGCTCCCCCCACACCTGCATGGCCCCTTAACCAAATGCTGCTGTTGGATGGTTCTTCCAAGTGTTTATTACAGCTGGAGGCAGCCACTTCCCTCTGATCAGCCAAGGCTTTGGCATCGTGGGAGGAAAAAGGGAGAGAATTAACTCAGCTGCCTAGGTTAACAGTTAGAAAAGGAAACTAAATGCATCCCTAAAAGTGTGTAATCCTACTGTTTTAGAAGAGCTAAGCCCTGGTTCGAGCAACCTCAGGTTTTGGTGCCAGAGAGGCTTTGCCAGTCGTATGCTGTTGTCCCCAGCCATGGCTGTCCCGGATGGTCAGCATCACAAAGCCCTGCTCTCCTCACTGAAAGAACCATCTCTTCCATTCTCCACCTCTGTTGCTAAATGATGTTGCTTTGAAGTAAAACGATTGCCTCCAGTATAAGACTGAGAAACACCCACTGGAACGACCTGCCTTTTCTAGGATGCCCTTTATTCAGTGCCTGATAGAGCCTGGCCCAGACTCAGCACAGAGCTTCTAAGCAGCATTTGCTCAAGTTAAAGAAAAAAATCTTTTTCCAAGTAACACATATGCAAAGGGGCATCATTGTCCCAGCAGCAGAAGTTTCACCTTCTGGAAATAAAATCTGTCCTGTATTCTCCATTCACCTGTGCCTCAGCTACTCTCAATTTATGCAGTCACATTGGGCACATATACATTGCCTCCATGATGAGCCTGGGAGTGCCTAGGAGAAGGGGTGAGCCCCACTAACTTGGTCCTGTTCAATGCTCCTGTGAAATTAGGCTGTGTAACCAGTTTAGCACAGCCCAGAGCTACACTAAGGCTCCCTGTCTCTGGGGTATTTCTTGACACATGCTCAGGGACACTCACTGACCACACTGCCCAGTTTCCAGTCTTTGGTGTATGGTGAGTAGGAAGGGCCCACATCTAGGCAGTGCTCACTATGGAGGAGGTGGAGATGTGCTCGTTAAAGCTAGCTGCAGTTAAAAGCTTCATAGTTCAGTCACGGCAATAGGTGGTCCTTGTTCAGCACACAAGTAACTGCTTCCTCCTGATGTCGTGATAAAATGGCAGCCTTTTCCTCTGCATCAAGATCCTCAGTTTGCTGCTCCTCAGATGATTCCTTGCTATATAACAAGGGTGGAGAGTAGGGTGTGCATGTCCAAGAGGAGGCTGCAGTAGATGTCTGTTCATCCAACAGAGCAGATTTCTTCGTGTAAGCAGATGCTCACCCAGCACACCGAAGGCCAGGCCCTCTGCTCACAGTGATTTACAGTGGTGGCTGTTCTAGGAGCTATCGAAAAGCTCAGAGAGAAGGATGCATAAACATAGCAGACTCAAATCTTGCATCAGCTCCTCACTATGCAGTTTCTGCTCATGGGGCTGATGCTTGGATGACAGAGGCTTGGAAGTGCTCTTTCTACCTTCTGTATGCTGTAGCAGCTGAAGCATATCTGACTTTGATATAAAAGCTAGAACAGCCACAGGGTTCTAGTCTCTGTGGTCCTTTACAGACCCTTAGAAGCAGAGAAGTGTCCCTCCCCAAGCTCTACACTGGCCACAATGGCCCTCTGAGTTGCCACCTTCTTTATGTTGCCACAGTGTGGTATGGAAAAGACTTGTTGGGCAGCAACATGGAATCAGCAAATATTTTCAGCTTTACCAACCTCCCCTTCCCCACTGCTACAGACAACACACAGTCCTTCCAGGAGGCAGGCTGCTCACTGAAGAAGTCCGAGGTTTGATAAAGGCAGACAGAATCCCTTCCCAGTTGACTCGGTGGGAAAAGCAGTCCAGACTCTCCCTCTGGCAGCAACATGCATTTGAAATGAGGGAGCAGAGGGAAACGGGTTTGTTTTAATTCAACTCTTTTCTTTAATTAAGCAGATGGGGGTCTATGTCCTGTGCATAAAATTAGGCATCTGCATCCTCCTCACTGCCAGAATGCACCTCACCTCTAGGGTCAGGAAGGGGGTGCCCTCTGCCAGTCTGCTCTTCTCTGTCATGTCAGTGCCACAGTGAACTAGAAAATAACTGGAAAGCTGGTGCCAGCAGGAAGCCATACAGGAAACAAGCTGCAGAGGCTCAGAGAAACTCAAATTTGTCCAAGGAGCAACAGTCTCAAGTTGCAGCAAGGGAAGTTTAGGTTAGATATTAGGAAAGCTTCTCTCATGAGGAGGGTAGTAAAATACTGGAACAGATTACCCAGAGAGGTGGTGGAGTCGCCAACCTTGGAGGTTTTCAAGACCTGGCTAGGCAAAACCTTGGCCGGGATGATCTAGTTGGGGTTAGTCCTGCTTTGAGCAGGGGGTTGGACTAGATGTGACCTCCTGAGGTCCCTTCCAACCCTCATTTTCTGATTCTAAGTGAGAAGGGGGAGATTATTAGAAGCAAGTGAACTACAAATACCAATCCCTTTGACTTCCACCAGGCTTCTAACTCACTGAGGTGCTCTGGAAAAATCCCATCCAGTGAAGATACCAGCCACTTCAAAGTCCTGTGTCTGGCAGCACAAGAAAAAGGGAAATAGGGACCAGACAGGAGCAAACTAAGGGAAGCACTGGAAAGACAACCACCCCCATGCATGAATTCTGAACCCCAGCTGCCTAGACAACAAACTAGTTGCTTGCAAACAAAATTACACCTACACCCCACTCTTGTCAATGTAGCCACTGAACAGTACCATAAGTAAGACTGGCTCTAGGGCACTGACTTCGAGGGGATGCAAGAACAGCAGGCACTACCACTGCCATCACCCAGGGCACAAAACCTGCTTGTGACACCTCTGCCACTGAAACTTACCTGCAGGCTAGTAAGAGCAAACTGTCTTTCCCACTGAAATCTGTAGGAAAAGATTTCTCTTCTTCAGCTGTTGACATCAAGCTTCTTACCACATTGCAGGGCCACATTGGCCTGAGCCATGACCATGGCAGGGATGTGGAAGCTACAAGTATTTGCAGCATTATTGAAATAGATCCTCACCAGGGGTTTATATGCAGGGGGGTGGGAGGCAGGAAATCTCTGCATCTTTGCTTTAAAGGTTATATGGCTCAATTTCCTGGGGCTTTTGTGGTTGTCCACATACACCTCAGATTTCAGCCTTCTGAGGAGGTGGAAGGCAAAAACTAAATAGTCTCTGATTCTCACCTGATCCTTACCCATATCTGGAAACATGCCAGCCTTTGGATTATGAAAGAGCAGCACATTTACCACAACATACACTCCTCATCATGGATGAGTAGACAGAGGAAGAGAAGGACACACTTACTATCTGAATGGCTTTGCAGGAGCTGAGACGGTCATTGAGGCCCATCCAATGTTGGTAGTCCGGGTACTCTCCTGGGGTCAGAACATAGGTGTTCCCTGAAAAGTTAGGCCTCTCATAAACTACCCAGGCACCTCCTTGAACTCGGATGGAGTTGCAGCGGCTCAGGTAGGTGTGGAAATCAGAGCAATCGCTCTCACACTCGTAGCGACGGCCCTGGAAGTTCTTGTCTTCATAGAAGGTGACCTGAAACCCAACCAAGGCAAAGTTAATGGTTGTTGGAAGAGAGGCACTAAGAGTCAATGCACACGCTTATGTGCAGTCAATATTCTCAGTCAACGGTCATTGGAAGAGAGGTACTCACTCAACAGTTACTGTAGGAGAAGTGCTAAGAGTCAACGTGCAAGTGTGTGTGCAGGCAGGAATGTGCACAACTGAGGGAAGAATCATTACTCAAAACCACAGTATTTTTACAAGACCGTAACTTCCCAAGTGCTGCCTATACATAAGTAGGCTACTCTAAATATGATAACTAAAGGAGACTAATGTAATTTAGACCCCCAAACTTAGTTTTTGAGGGGGGAATTGGGACTTATACTTGAACCACTTTGCTTGCAATAAGACTTAAGAGGAAATACATGTGAACTTCTGTTCCCAGCCTGAAGTGGGTGCAAGTCTATATGAAAAGAACTTTCCCTTTGTAAGCCAGGGTAAAACAAGTAGGAAATTGGGTTGGGAAAAAGGATATTTCTTATAGGTTCCCAAAAGCATTCTCTTTCTTTCAGAATAAAACATGCTGCCCTTTAAGTCCACTCACTTCCTGTGGATACAACTTTAAGGTGTTCCTGTCTTGTATTTGAAGGATGGTGGGAAAATGGCCTTGAGGAAAAAAAAAAAAAAAAAAATCACTCGTTCAGTCTGCCTAACCAGACAAATCAAGAGTCATTAATGTAAACTGATAACAGAGCAGGGAAACTGAGCACAATTCACAAATTTCGCTTTACTAAATAAAGCATTTTAATGGACAAAGACAAGACATGACAATATGGCACCATAGCTCAAGCAATGGGAACAGGCACCATACAGTTTATGCAGCTACTGGGGAATTTAAGATGAACACAAGCTGTGAGAAAATAAGTTAATGAGGCAGCAAGGAAATATTTGTTCTTTGCACAGGCAAGTACTGTCCCATCAGTCAGCACTGGCCTTCCACCCCTGCTGTTTGTCATACATAGTGCCACACTTACATCTAATAAAGCAGTGCTATTCTGGCCAGACACTACAAATAGTTATCCCCTTGTCAATAGAAGAGAGTTCCTCCCTGCTTTCAGACCAAACCTCTTGCCCCACTTTAAGACCCCAATCCTAAAATGTGTTCTACAGTTTCTTCCAGGATCAGGGCTTAGAGGTCTGTGCATCACACTCGTACTGTGCCAAGACTCAAAAAGAGGAGCCAATAATACAAACATCATGCCTTGCATCAGCGCATGCTTGCATGGTAATTCACATTATGTCTCTGACATAAAGAAAGATGTGTATAAGAAAAACATGTATAAGAAACAGCTCAACAGTAGTCGCAAGAGATTCTACATGACTAATCCTTATCCAGTGAGGCCGAACCAGAGCCAAAGAAGAGAACCCAGGTGTCCGGGCTGTCTCTCACGCTTTCTGCTAAGTAAAACTCAGGGCTCGGAGCCACATCTGAGTCTAGTTTAAATTTATTAAGATTCCAAACCATCAGGCACACTCTCACCTCCCCACTGGAGTTAGAAAGCATACTGCTCTTAGCTTTAAAAAGTCTAGTGCTATAGTTTCAGTTGTTGACTTCCAGGTTGACACGGGCACCCACCACTCGCAGTCACCAAGGGGAGCATGAGGCAAGATTCTACTCACCTGAGACCCACCTCTCTGATGTCAAATATTCAAGGTACAGGAGATGCACTTTGTCAAAAGCACAGCCCTGTCGTTTTCTATGTTTGACCAAGTTTGGTTTGAAAAGCTGAGTGACAGAGAGGGAAAGCCACTGCTGCTCTTGAAATACAAGCATTTGTCCTCTGGTTTGATCTCCTTCCTAGCTTCTCCTGCTCCTATGAAAATCTACTGTGTTAGCCCTAAGCTTCATCTACATTTCTCCCACATCTGTAAATGAGAGCTGCTTATTATGCTCCACCTCTTTCAAGTTTGTAATGTCTGGAAGCAAACAATTCTAGCAAACATACCTTGGTTCCAGTTTTGGACATTTTTGATTTTAATGCAGCTCCCCAGATGCTGAAGGAATCGCAGGAGCCGCTACGCAGAGCCAGAAGCAGAGGCCCCCTTTTTATAACAGACTTGTTATAAACCAGACAGTCGCTTTGTCATGAGAATGGGATCCAAAAATTGAGTCAGTGATTCTGAAATTATTGGCCGTTTCTAGAACAGCAAACAGGATTACGGAATAAAGGGAAGCTTCGCTGTCCACTTTATTTGTTACCATTGCACTGTTTGCGTTGAATGCTTCGCTGAGTCAGAGCGCCAAAACTCTGCCAAAAACATTAACAACAAAGAGTACCCAGCCCCCAGGAATGTGACAATTTGTCCTCGATCTCCCATTGGAGCACACTAAAAGGGATCGATTCTAGTCAGCTGTTGTAAAGGTTTTGAACTCCTGCACCAATTTGTAAGGGAGGGTCCCCTACATGCAAGCACAAACACGTATCCTCCTGCAGAGGACAGGAAGAGAGTTTGGAGAGGTTGGCCTCTCTGACAGGCCAGCACTCAAAAGCTTCCAGTGGGAATATTTGTGCTGCGGGAATACCATGCATTTCTCTAGCATCTTCCAAGGAGGCAGCTTCATCTCAAGGATGAAGTGACATGGCCAAGGGTACCCGGGACACCTATTAGAATCAGGAATTTTCTTAATTTGACCTCTAGGACCAAATCCTGTTCCATCAAGTGGACGTAGGCACCTAAGTGTGATCCTAATTTCACCCTGCTCGGTCAAGTCCCCAAAAAACATTAATGGGACTACTTTGGTAACATCTTAGTCTTAAGATTAAGTCACCAGTGAGCAGTGAGGGGGAGGAGAAGACACCCACATTTTATATTAAGATTTTCAAGGACTCAAGCAAAGCAGAATAGGATCATAATTTGGTATCCAAGTCTATTTGAGCCCCTACAAGGTGGCACAGAAGCTAGTCCCTAGGTTGGCAATTTAACCAGGATGCCATCCTTTTAAGAGACACCCTTAAGTTGAATGCACTGGCCTGTGTAACAGGGGTGTAGGTTGTAGCCGCATTGGTCTAAGGCAGAGGTGGGCAAAATCCAACCCAGGGGCCAGATGCAGCCCACCAGGCCATTCTATCTGGCCCACGGGGCCCCTAAAAAATTTAGAAAATTAATATGAATCTGCCTTGAGCTGCCTGTCATGCGGCCCTCCATGGCTTGCCAAAACTTAGTAAGCGGCCCTCTGCCCAAAATAATTGCCCATCCCTGGCTAAGAACATAGGCAGACAAGGTTGGTCTAATAAAAGATATCAGATTCACTCAAAGAACCTTGTTGGGGCTATGTAGACATTTACAAGTCAACATGAAGGGGGAAAAAATAAGGAACACTGCTTGCAAATATCTGTGCCTCTCAAAGTTACACTCTATTATAAATACCTCCTCAGCTAATTACTGCACTGACCCAACAGCTGTGAGAAACAAAGCCAAGTGAATTTAACACCTGAATGCAGCCATTATTTCAAGAGACATCTCTTTTCAAATATGCTAGAAGCTATTCTGTTCACCTGCAAAACCCAAGAACTCCACAGGCCTCCTAGACCAATAAGTTGGGCTGGAAATCTGCCCAGTGGCAGTCCATTTCCCACCTTGCCCAATCTTCTTTAAACAGGAGCTATTTTTTTCACATCTTTTCTAGTAGCAGGGTGTGAGGCCACTCATAGGGAACAATACAAGTGCTGTTCTCTGGAGAACCTAAGATACAGCTTATGACCCAGCTCCTACAAAAGGTGGGCTGATGGCTTGGTACGTTAATCCTACAGCTGTACTCCCTTTCATTATACCCTATCTGCCATTCAAATGATGGGTGGGTAAATCTCTATCCCTTTATCTGCATTACTCCCTGTGTCCATGGGTCTCAGAAAGAGGTTCAGGTGAGTTTGGCCCCTCAGTAATCCACATCTTTACTTATAGTATCATAGGTGGTAGGGTCAGAAGGGACCTGAGCAGATCATGAAGTCCGACCCCTTGCCATGGCAGAAAAAGAGTACTGGGGTCAAACGACCCCAGCAAGGTGATTGTCAAGCCTTGTCTTAAAGACCCCCAGGGTAGGAGCCAGCACCACTTTGCTTGGAAGTTGGTTCCAGATCCTAGCCACCCTGACAGTGAAGTAGCGCCTCCTGATGTCTAGCCTAAATCTACCCTCTGCCAGCTTGTGACTGTTACTCCTAGTCACTCCTGGTAGTGCTCGGGGGAACAGGGACTTCCCCAATGCCTG